CCCCCCCCCAATGTTCGGCTGGTATTTACGGCCCTGTATGTAGTACCAGTACATCTGTTATGAAACCTCACAGGCTTTGATCAAACAATCGCTAAAGTCTGACAGACGTTTTATAGCGATTAAAAAGCTTGGCTCCATAAGCTGGCATCATTTGAAACCTTTTTTGTTTTCTATTATCGAAAGAATGCAGAAACTTCAAATCGGAGTAAGATTTTTTTTCCCATTTATCTCTACATGGTTAGATAGAGTACATCCAAGCATAAAAAGATAAGCTAGTCGCTCCCGCTGCAGCTAGCCACATTAGCTTCATAACCCGCTAGTATTAAAAAAATATAAAAATATTAAAGCGGGTTATAGGCGCTGTAGCTAGTTACACTAGTTTCGATAATGCTTGCAGCTAGCTGCATAAACGTACATACCATGGAACGGGTGCTATAGTGAAAATGCGATTTACTATTTATTTTTTATGTTTCAGTATGAAGAAGCATTTTTAGATATTGTGCCCAAACGAAAGCGTGTTGGAAATTAAATTTTACTTACTATTGTCTGTAGGTTCAACTCGGAGAAATATTTCCTTGATGATGAATAATCAATCCTAATTGCACTAAATTTAATCTAATTAAATTTCTTGACGTTCAATTCACTAGTTCAGAGAAAAAACGAAAAATATATATTTTCTTATTTCTTAAGAAAATTCTCGATGGTTTTAATTCTCTTTTAAACTTTTTTAAGGAAGAAAAATTGAAAACGTTCGAAGAGTCTAAAATTTCGAAAAACCTTCGTTTCAAAAATAATTAAAAGTTTTTCTTTTCCGTTCTTTAAACTTGTCAAAAGTAGTTTTCTCGGATTTAGCATTAAAAACTGAGTATGAATCTGATGTTTGATCGAGGTTGAAGTCAAGGAGGTCTGTTTAGTATGGACATCTCGGATTCTTCCTGTAAAAGGTTCCTAAACAATTTTATAAACCTATCTCGGTTTTTATGTGAAGAGATGAAGCCGATATTTTTACTTCACTAGAATCGTCATTCAATAAGCTTTACAAGTACGGATTCCTTTTTTTTTATGCTGCTTCGTCACCGAGAAAATTCGTTTATCTTAGATCAAGAGCGGAAAAGTCGAAAATCTGCCAGCACTTCTCAGTCTTCTCCATCAAAGCTCATCTTTTATGCAATAAAAATATCATATTTAGAACCGATGCCAAAAACTGAGTCAAATATACATTTGAGAATTTCTGTTGATTTCCAGTTTTTCAGTGAAAATCTGAGTAATTTTTCGATGTGTAAAGATGAGTAAATTCGAAACAAACAAAAGTGATCGGATAGGATAAAAAAAAGTATATTAATTGACTTAGCTTTTGACGCTGATTCTGAATATGATATTTTATTGCATAAAAATGAGGTTGGATGGAAAAAACTGAGAAGTACGGGCAGAATTTCGGCTTTTTCACTGTTTCAGGTGTCTTAGAAACCTTTCTCAAAAGCTGAATTCAGCAGTATGATTTTCAAATGGAAATTTGATGTAGAAAAGGCTTTAAAAAGTAAAAGTTGAGTTATTTTACATTGGGACAGCAGGCAGGAAATGGTGGAAATTTGAATTCTGGTTTTGGTTATCAGCCCCCACTAAAACGCTTTTGTGTTGTACCGATCATCAGAAAAAGATTCAGATCTGTCTCTCATAGACTCTTGTGCTCCCAGCATACAGAAAAGAGTTTCAGTCAAGGATATGTGAATTACAGAGGGTACTTTGTTTTCAGGAGTCTTGGTTTCATTTCATAGCAGCATTATATAAGAATTGCATAACTCAAGCAAAAATACAAGTTTACCTACATTTACCTGACAAGACCTACCTACCCAACCTTCAACATCTAGCATCACACTTATCGTTAGTACTAAACCTGGAAAACGATCGCTTGTTATCACTAAATCCGAAGAAGAAATACCAAATGTGGCAGACCTACCTGAAATCATAAGAAGTACAATAAACAACACCAGAATACTGTTGGTAGCTAATGGTTATAGATTTATTCATGATAAAACTTACAAAGATGTTGAATATTGGAAATGTAACGAATCATACAATCCAGAAATCCATTGTGACACCAGAATGGAAACCGATCTTAATTATAAATTTTTTTTCAATCAGTTCATTGAAGATTCCATATTCGGATGCCACACAAGAAGAAGAAATCGAACGTTTAAGAACTGAATTGAAAGCACTTCGGACACAGCTGGAGTAAGTATATTTAATTGGAATACACTGTACGATTCCACTTGATCGTTTGTTGCTCTTGTATATCTTTTCTCAACACCTTCATTGGAAACATTTGAAAATGAGATGCTTCCCAGCTCTCCACGACCTTTCTTTGCAAAGTTACAGAATTTACAAGAAAAGCCCTAAATGTTCATTGTCAGCTCAAGAAGGAACCTTTCCAGATGTCCAGCCGCTTTGCTAACGAAATGGAGTGCTTCACTTGGGAATGTTCCCTCGTGAACGAAAGTCAAAGTTCGACACATTTCTTCGTAAAGAAAAGTCAGAACGGACTTAACGTTTTTTAAATTGAAGCTAGGACATTTGAATTAGGCCTCGTTGATAGTTATGCAATTTCTTCGTGTTTCTTGTAACTTTTGAGGTAAAATTCTTCGAGGAATACATCAACGGAAAAACTCAAAGATCCAGCTGTTTTACATCAATACCAGCTCGTGCTCTCTAGTTGCTTTCTGAAATCGGCCAGTTGGTAGATGCCGCATTTTGCGCTTTATTTCGACAAACATCTATTGAATGAAAGTAGGTACAGTACTCCACAAAAGTAGCCCACCTGCAACTCAAGAACCATGATAACTAGTGACCTCTAATTTTTTTGGTTATGAATCTCACTGAATGCTAATTACCTCACCAGCATGAGCCTCTTTTGCACGACGGTTCGTGTGGTATGAGCGTCTCGTTTATTTTCCGTGAAATATCAGTAACTCCTGATCTAAGAGAGATGAAAACTTTTCTTCTTACGAAAAGTAGTCACTACTCTAGCCTATCTACGGAATGAATTTTGTGATTTAGTTGCGGTAATGGTCAGTGAAATACAGCTATTTTATCAGCGAGAATCGCTTTTTTTGTTGAAAATGCGAGCTCTTTTGCGACGAAAAGTTCACATTTCCACTTAAAAAACCGAAATGATCATTGAACATGGGTAGGCATGGCTCTCGTGCAGCGACCATTAGTTCTTCACCGTCGCTCTTCTACGTATGTTTCAATTGTGTGTCCTCGTTCTCAATGAATTTCCAGAACCACACAATAGTTAATCTTCATAATTTGGCTAAATAGTCTACAGATACTATAGAGTCTTCGATGCGAATCTGAAGTCAAAATGATGGTCCGAGAGTTGTGAACTTTTCTTTGCAAAGAATCTCACATTTTTAACAGAAAAAAGTGGTTCTCGCTCTTAACAAATTGAACGCTCAACGCTTAAACTATCAACAAATGAAACACTCATATCACACAAACCATCGTGTAAAAGAGGCTCATACTGGAGGGGTGATCAACATTCAGTGAGAGCTATGACCACATAAAATAAGAAGTCACTAGTTTTTATGGTTCTTGAGTTGCCGAGAGTCGTTACTTTTGTAGACTACCATATAGTTTTAAATGTAACCCGTAACTATTACTGGATAGACATGGTCAATATTTTCTGTAAGTTTCGTTTGAATCGGTTCTCTTGTTGTGGAGATGGACTTCTGACGCGGTAGACGGGCGTATTAGTCAGAGAAAAGGCAAATACGTTATCAAAATTCTCTCGAAGTTACACGAGGTTATTATGGGTTATGTGAAGAAAATGATTTCAATTTTCCACTTAACTATTTTTGAAGTGCGAAATTAGAAAGTTTGGCATGCATGTGATGTTCGTTCACTTTCTACGAAAAAAAATGTCCGATATTCATCTTTCCATATGTCGTAGTTTCTAATATGACTCCCATGCAAACAATCGTAACTGTATTCTTCTTTCATAATATAAGGTGGTCGATTTGTGCTAGACCAAAATAATATATTTTAGCTGCAAATATTCATCCATTGAAGATTATTACTAGTTCACTTAGCTGCTACTGTTTTTATATACTCTCAATGCGAAAAGAGAAAATGCAAATTACCACTCTTCTTTTTTTTATTGCTCTATTACATTTTGTTGAATAAGGAGTACTAATACACTATGCACTGTGGAAATATAAATCTTTTATTTCTCATGTAAAAAGAACAGTTCTACAAATAACTGAAATAAATATTTTATGTTATGAATAAATCACTGACTGACATACTCAACCATATTCGTGTCGTTTATGTTTATCAGTATATTTTTCTCATCATCTTTACCTTGGGTATGGTAGGTAATACCTTCAACATTATTGTATTTTTACGCAAACGTTTTCGATCAAACTCATGTTCAATTTACTTTCTAACCTATTCTATAAACAATTTTTTTATTCTCATCATTGGAATGTTGCTACGATCGCTCACAAATGGTTTTCAATATGAGCTAGAAAATAATTTGTTAATATTTTGTAAAATTCGACGATATTTCACACATACAAACTATCTCATATCTTCATGTCTTCTCACATTGGCCACAATCAATCGATATGCGCGTGTCAAACAAGCACTATGTAATGGTCACATGATCCTTTATCATTATTTATGTTGCCGAAAAATTACATATTTTATTGTACCTATTGTTATAATTATATGTTGTCTTGTAAATATTCATATAGCCATCTACTTTCAAATCAATACTTCATCATACAATAATACTTCATCGAATTGCTTTGCACAGAAAGGCACTTATCGACTTTTTTTAGATATATTTTTTCTGCTATTTTATGGTATATTACCACCCTTCGTCACATGTATTTTCGGACTATTGACAGTGTTGAATGTTCGTTTTATTCGACGTGATTTACATCCAAATATACAAAAAAAAGAGTTTCAACTCATGGTGATGGTTTTAGCACATATCATGTGTAACGCAATATTATCACTGCCGTATCCAATAGATCGATTTTATGAAACAATGACAATTAATCGTAAAAAGAACGAAGAGCAAGTGGCTGTTGAAGCACTTGTTCAATCCATTGGGCATTTGCTATTCTTTTCAAATCACAGTGCTAGTTTTTACCTCTATATACTGTCTACCAAAGGTTTTAAAAATGAATTCATTCGAGCAGCAAAAGACGTCATTCATCTAATCTGTCAATATTACTCAAAAATTACACAATTTTAGCTTGTGAACGTGTAAATAATCTCTAATGAGGCATTAAATAAAATTCATACAAATTTGTCAATATCACTCAAAAATTACACAATTTTAACTTGTGCTCTAATGAAGCATTAAATAAAATTCATACTTCACAAATTCATACGACACTTTCATCAGAACAATCAGAACTCAAGTTTAGGATAAATAAATCACTGTTGATGCATCGAGTTGATCGCTATTAAGAGCTTTATTCTCAGGGGATGTCAGAGTATCGTATAATACGTTAAATTTGAGAACAGGCGGTAGTATCTATTTTCTAAAAACTAATGCCTATAATGATGTGACACAACTATATCACTGTAAAAAGAAACTGTGTTACTAGGTGTGTAAAATGACCTAAACGTTCGCACAGCATAGAAAAGTGTGTACTTCTCCTAGACGGTCAATCTCAATGTGTTAAGGACTCCTCTCTCCTCAGAAATGAAGATTCTCGGTCAAAAAATCGATTTTGAGATAAGCACATGGAAATATAGCCTGAAGTGTCTACTTTCGGAATTTGTATAGCTTTCGATTGCAGAAGTGATGTTTTGCGACTTTCGAGTAGGCATGCAACGATTACCGGTTACGGTTAACCGTTCGAACGGTTATTGTGGTTACGGTTAACGATTAATAACCGTAACCGTTGCATGCCTACTTTCGAGCGAGTTTTCTAGGAGGAAAGTTATAGCGGAAAAGCTTTTTCCTGGATATTTAAGCAATTAAATTCTTTTCTGAACGGGTAGATTTGAAGAGCAAAATTTTCTAGTCAAAATAAGGCCTTGCACACCTCTGTGCGATCCTACGTTAAATAGTTACAAGCATTTTTTCCAAAAGTCCTAACATTTAGCATTTTATACAGCGTTTTCTACGTAGGAATTACACCTATAATATTTTCAAAGAATTTTGAATATACTTCAAGCAAGAGAGTTGGATTTGTTTTATTTTAAATTAGATACTTAACTACATGGGTTGACTGGCGCCGACTTTTCGATTAGGTCTTAGTTTTTATCAAATTGAGAATTTCTAGCAAATCAGGAAGTGTTCTTCAGGTTTTTGAGGTTGTTGGTTGTCTACAAAACGAGCAAAGGCTTAACTGAAAAATTGGCGTCGGTCAGCCCATGTACTTAGTTGTCTAGCTTAAAATAAAATAAATTCGAACTTTCTAGCTTGAAAAAGATTAAAAAGTCTTGGGAAATACTTCAGGGTCCTTTTTGGACCTTGACCACTAGAAAACTCTTAAACGGTAAGACTTGGAGACAAAACAAAATTTCCATTCCGTAACCTATTGTACCGCATATTTATGGAAAGTTTCGTCAAAATAGTACGGTGTCGGAGATAAGTTCTGAGGTTGGAGACCCTTAAATGCTAAGTGTGCTAAAAAGTTTTAATATTTTCAATTTTTCTCGCTAGCTACTGTATCAAATGAAAACATAATTTCAAAATCGTGATCACCATCTTCAGAAGTATATATATTCTGTCATTTTGAGGCAAAACGGATAACAAGTTCACTTTCAGTGTATCGTCATTTATCACTTTTTTTTTACAGTGTAATACAGCAAAACCTTTTCCTAAAAGAAAGAAATAGCTATTCAAAAGATTCGGAAAGGGCAGGTGTTTCATCCGTCATAATCAGAACAGAAAAAAATGACAAGCTAAAGCACTTGTATGTACATTACAAGGGATGGACTGCATCACGACGAGAACTAGAGTTTGTCAAAAATAGCTTGTTGTGTGACATTACAATGGCTTAACCCCAGCTTAACCAGTAGCTGCAAATACCATTTCAGTAGACCACCTGGTCTTCTATCAAATTTTGTCGCCTGTTAGTAGTCCAACGATAACTTCATGTACTTGAAGCCCGCCTCCTATTAGAAGTACGTTTTGGCGAAACTATTTTGAGAATTCCCTTATGCCCTATAATTCAATCAATCATTTCTTATTAATAATTAAAAAAATCATAAAATAAATAAAAATGTTTTAGATTTTAATCTACCGTAAAATATTCTAAACTAAATAATGTTAACCTAAAAAATTATAATAAAAAGCACTAATAGAAATAATAGATCAAAATGATAATAAAATAATTCTATAAACTTGTATCGTTCAAAGATATTTGCCTTCTATAATTTTTAACGTACGGAGTATCCTATGTATAATCCTGTATCTAGTCATGGTAGATACCTGATAACCTTTTTAACATATGGGTACCATATGTATAACGCAAAATCAATAAATGATTTTAAAATAGTACCATAAACTTATATCGTTCAAAAATATTTACCTTCCATAATTGTTAACATCTGTAGCCAGATGTATAAACTTGTATTGAATCATGGTAGATACCTGATAATCTTTTTAACATATGTAATATGTATAAAAACAAACAAACAAACAAACAAAATTAAATATTAAAATTTAAAAATATAAAATATTACCATTTTCGGATTTTTTCGGGTTACCTGTAAACACCAAATTTATATTGAAATTTGATCAATCACAAGTTTACAGCTACTAACAAAAAACCTCCTAGAAATCGTAAAAATACTTGTATATAAACTTTATACTTCAAACTTTCTTTGCCTTCGGAAAACAGACAAGTTCTACGAAGTTTTCACAAAATATCGACTTTGAGAAAAGCACATGTTTGGATAGTCCAAAGTGTCTACTTTCTATGGCATAATTTTTGTGTCGATCGGATAGATTTTTCATAGGTTTTGAGTGAGTTTTTCAGAAACCCTATAGCAAAAAAATGGCCTTTTTTGCACTTGTGTTGCATAAGCGCACGCATGTGCCGCACTTACTCGTGCACATGTTCATTAGATCCGTCATGATCAATCCTAGTGATCGATTCTTACAAAAGAATCTGATAGGAATCTGATAAGGAACTTATAAGAATCCGCTATCACTCGTATAAGAATCTTATTAGATTCTTATTAAATTCTTACATAAGAAGTCCGCACGAA